AGAAGGCGTAAAGAGATGAGGTGTCTTGAAGAGGATTTAATAATCGTACCAGAAGTAACCGACAAAACTGACGATCCTTTGGTGACTTCACAATCACCAACAATACGATCAGAATTTCTTCAAACTGAAGCAAGTTCCTATGTTGATTTGCTACCATCAAGTTCATCCGTCGTTTCATTTCCTTTACCTCAGCGTATTAAGGCCTATCGGGGCTCGTCAGCACCATTGAGTCCGTCTAGTGACGTAAGTAAAATTTCAAAGCCATATACAAGATCATCAGTTCGTGTGATTGAAAAGGAGTTTCCTCCAACTCCAAAAGCTAACAAGTAACTGAATACCAAAGTTATCATACGTAGACTTAAATACCGCATGAACAAAATATATCAGTTACAGAAAGAGAAGATTGATCAATTGAAGACTGTCAACGAACGACGGCGAAAACAGATATATAGATTAAAATACCAAAGTGCGAAATTAAGAGAATATGAACATATAAGTAAAAATAATACTGAAGATATTAAACAAAGTGAATCAGACACTATAAAAACAATTAAAAATAATGTGGAAGAGGACATCAAAACTTTTCTTGAAGAAGATGAAAACAGTCGTATGTGTTCTGGGAAGAAAGAGTTCATTACCCAAAAAAAGAATAAACAACAAAGACGCTATTTATGATTCTTTAAAAGACTTATATACTAAGTTTAAGCAAACAAATCCCCAAAATAAAATTAGTTACTCCAGTTTTTGCAAAAAACTACCGTTTTGGATACTGAAACCTAATGTAAATAAACGAGAAACCTGTCTTTGTATCGAACATGAAAATATGGACTTGATGGTGACTGCTTTAAAGAAAAACAACTTAATTCATTCTTGAATTTTAATTTATTTTTCTAAATCTACCAAAGATATTTTGTCATCACTGTGCTGTGACTCTTCGAATGTGTCATGTTTAACTAGAAAATGCGATGACTGCAAAGATAAAAGTTTAATCTATAATGAATTCAATAACACTGAAGTATTGTTTTACTGGATTTGGCAAAAAAGTAAAAAAACTTATTACAAGAATGGAGTTACAAAAACAACCATTCACACAACGAAAGATAAAGTGACTACTTTCCCCAGGGACACCATTTTTTTTTTTCACCAAATTTGAAAAAATGTTACCTTCATACATGACTCACTGTGGAGTTATGATCGCACAAAACAAGTTTATTAAAAAAAATGAAAAGCGACCTCACTGAGGAAGAGTGTATAATTCACTGCGACTTTAGTGAAAATTACAGCACAAAATACGGTAATGAAATTCAAGCCGTTCATTTCGGGGGTAACCGACAACAAATAACCCACCGTGGTCATTTACTATCGTAAAAATGGACTTCTGAAAGTTCAGTCGATGTGTACATTATCAGAGTCTTTACGCCATGATGCACCAGCCATTTGGGAACATTTACTTCCGATTTTAAAATTCATAGAAGATGAAAATCTCAATATTCGTATACTACATTTCATTTCTGATAGTCCGTCGGCTCAGTACCGAAACCGTAAAATGTTTTATATCATCAGTAAACTCCATTGGTACTTTCCCAATTTGACTAGTATTACATGGAATTATACAGAAAGTGGCCATGGAAAAGGAGCCCCAGATGGTGTCGGTGCAACACTCAAAAGAACAGCTGATCGAATAGTTGCTCAAGGCAATGATATCACAAGCTTATCATCATTGATGACTCATCTGAAATCTGTTCAAGGTATTATAACGAAAACTATTGACGATTCCGGTATTTATGAAAAAGAATTGCTAATTCCATCCAATTTCAAGCAATTTGCAGGGACTATGAAAGTACATCAAGCAGTATGGAACGCCAATAAGCCCAACCAACTATCGATGAGAAAAATGAGTTGCGCCGAAGGTGAATGTAAAAATAATTCTGTGTCATGTGAACATGGGTATCATGTAGGATTATACATCATAGGCGAGCAAGCTGATAGACTGTTGACTGATAGAACGAACAAGAACAAGAGTGACAAGATCAATCTGATTAAAAAGTCAAGTCAAACCAAAAAAGGGAGTGGAGTCAGTGCAACTGAATCTAATAAGCATCAAATTTTATCGAATATTCTAATTCAACCTGGTTGTAGCTATTCTGTTGATCTTGCTGATGAGTTCTATGAAACCAAACAGCGCCTGTCCCATACCTTACCTTCAGACATTGGATTACATGAAAGTGACAGCTTCTGGACACGTATTTCGATAGATTGTGAAAATATTGCTCCGACATTAATGAATGAAGTAGTCTCCAAAAAAATTGTAAAGAAAGTAGTGACGAGGAATATAACATTTTTTTAATTAAGGATTGAAAACTGTAATACAAAGTTTTATAAGAAGTTTATTACATTGTTAATTTAATGCTGGGTGATTATTATACCTAAAGCTTATTTAATTGTCTTAAAATCAAAAGAAAAAGTAATATTTTTATTAAAAATACAAATACTATTAGTTATGTAAGTGCCTTCTACAATTGTTGATTAAAGGATTGATTTTTAAGTGATTTTGTAGTAATTTTTTTCAATAAGTAAATTGACTGTGATTAAGCTAGATCTCGACCAAGAATGCTGATTTTTTTTAAGTTCCTATAATGTTAGTTTAAGACTACTATCTTTAATGACATTTAATATAATAATTTAAAGCTTTCGACCAAAGTTGATTTTTGTAAGTTTTCACAAAAATTAATAAAAATGGTTACACATAAGTCTTGATAACATAAATTTTTTTGTTGTCGAATTAACCTGCAATTCTTTACAGATCATAAGTTCATAGTAGTTATCAAGTTGGCAGTAAATTTACCTTAAGAAAATTATCTTTGAAATATAAATTATTTTATATTTATTTGATTTCGGTGATTAAAATATTGATTTCGGTGGACACCATTTTTTTAAAATTAAATACCTTCTTAACCATTCGGTCTATACGATTCCCTCTTCTACTTATATATATTAAATTAACTCTAGAATAGATATTTCATGTTACTAAGACCTAAATTTAAAAACAAAAAATGCCACCGAAATCAACCAAATAATGAGTCGCCTGATAATGACCCAAATACGCTATCGGCTAATTTAATATTTATATTACCTTATGAGTTTAAAAATATCATTTTGTACGGTTTATTATGAATTGAAAATGAATAATTATATAATAAATAGTCATTATTTATGGTAAAAAATTAGCAAAGATTTATCTTCTCATTATAACTATCTAATTCCTGTCGTAATCTGTTCTTTTATGCATATAACTTAAACAAAATATAATTTCGAGGTTTCACATCTGCCAGGCGTCCCTTTCTTAACTTTGTACATAGTTTGTTTGTACTTTGTTCATGCTTTTCTTTTGTTCATGTATTGTATTGTTTGTAAATATCTCAAGCAAACCCAAACGGCTCTTTTCAAAACCACCGAAGGTGTGCAATTGCATATTATGTCATACAATCTATCTAGCGGTAGTATGCTCTCTGTGTGCTTTGTTCAACACGTCCTTGGCAGCACTGAATAAAACTAAAGAGTGGAGACAGCTCAAGATTGGTGTATTTTTATTTAACTGCTAAAAACAACAAAACCATATCTTGGGCTTGCCCTAGTTTGGAGCCCTAGCTTCACCACTGTATCTACACCTATTATACATATACAAGTACACTGATTCATTCACTGCAAATGTAACTTTGTAATTCTATGTATTTATATGGGATTACAAAGTTATTTATGCAGTTGGTGTATCTAGAAAACTAGACCGAATTTAACAAATATTTTAGTTTTTCCTTGATTTATACACTAAACACTAATTGTGATCTAAATTTGAAGCTTCTATGTCTGCTAGAAGTACGTTAGAGTTTTGATGATCGGTCAGTCAGCCAGTGACAAAATTAAGAAACTTTGACTAGTTATTAATTCTTAAACTATAGGTTCAAATTGAATGAAATTTGAAATATACCTATATATTTATACAATGTCCACTCGGTTACTGAAAATTCAGGCTTCTAGTTTTATTGACTACGAAGTTATAGGGGGTCGCAAAAGGCCTGAATTGCTTCGAGAAAGGTATGGTACGGCCGTGCCGCTTTTTGCTCGACTTGACAGATTCATAATCAAACTCTTCTTCGTCATCAAGTTCGAGTACTACATTTGCAAGCAAAACTAAACAAATACACAGTTGCTGAATTATATGCCATGATCATTTGATGTTCAGATTTTATATGACATGCACCTAAAATGTCTTTTAGAGATTTTTTGATTATTTTATTAAATAATAAGTACAACTTTAACGTTTATAAAGGTTTGAGATACTAAAACACCATGTTTACTGTCATGGTATCCTACTATAACTATTCTATTTTTGAAAGCTATTCAGTTTTACTAATGTTTTATCAGTTATACAGTAACATGAAAGTTATTTTCTGTCGTTTCGAATGTACATTGTTATTTTTTCATTTTAATGCCATTTGTTTGAATTTCTATTAAAAAATCTTGGAAATATCGCCTATTTCATTTAATTATCCTCCATTTCATTAACAAATAAAGTATTTTAAAGATTCTTCTTCTTATTCTGCTTGTTTTAGTTTATATATGTTACCAATCAAATACAACTTAAATAAAAAAATACGTAAACTATCCTTAAATATAAAAAATACATTCTTTCATGATTTTTTTTAAAAGGTCACTTCTGCAGTGAAACAGTACGCGATTTGTAACAAAAAGTCACTTTTGGTAGCCTTCCCTCAGTTTATGGCTTTTTTTTTCAGAAACTTCTTTTATTTTTTTAAAATTATAAATTTGTAATATGACTGTAATCGCACACAAAAGTGATAAGTAGTGTTAATACGCCACCTGAATTCAAAAAAACATCTTCGAATTTCGAAACAAGTATCGGGATCAAAAAAATTGATGATTTAGTGCGGGAATCACCTGTAGACATTAAAGTACGTCGTGCAGAATTAAAGCTTTGTGCAATGCTCGCTACAAATAACTTACCGTTCTCGTTGATGGACACTGTTATCCCTTTAGCTAAAGACATTTTCACAGACTCTGAGATCGTAAGCAAATTGGCAGTACGACGAACTAAAGCCTCACATTGTATAAAAAATGCTTTAGGCAACAACTTGGCTAATATTGTGTTTGATGCACTTAGAGTTCCTGGCGCTTTGTTCTCCATAATTATGGATGAAACTACAGACTGTAGTACTATTAAACAGCTTGGGTTCACAGTTATTTATTTTAATGTTAAAAGCAACAAAGTTGAGACCCATTTTTTTGATATGATAGAGGTCAAATCCGGAGATACCATATCTTTAGTGAAGTATTTAACAAATGTGATAGAATCAAAAGAAATACCACTATCGAATCTAAACAGATACTACGAACGTAATGATTGGAGAGCACAACTCAGTGTTTTCTCATTTGATAGCCGCATTACCTAGCGTAGCGTGCATCAAATGTTCCTGCCATTTAATACATTTAGCAGCATCTAAAGCATGCTTAAAACTCCCACGAACTGTCGAAGATCTTATAAGAAACTTGGGGTCGCACTTCAGCCGCGGCTCTTTTAGACAAGAAAAATTCGCACAGTTTCAAGCTTTTTTTATCAATGTGATTTACACAAAATTTTGAACGTAGCTACAACACGCTGGCTGTCTGAAAAACTGCGTAGATCGTGTGTTACAACAGTATACTACCCTGAGAGAATATTTAAGACTAGCTGTTTTCGAGGATCCCTCTAAAACAACCGAAGAAATGGTGGCTACAATGGATAATGAGTTCACGGTTATTTATTTAGAATTCATGTCTTATACTTTAGGTTTGCTGGCTCAATTCAATTTATTGTTTCAGTCAGAAACACCACTACTATATAAAATGAAATCTTCGGTCGAAAATCTGTTGAAGACTGTGTGTAGCAATTACATCACATTTTCTTATGTGAAGTCTTGTACTGATATAATGAAAATTGAGTTTGATGACGAATCCAAATATGACAGATTGGACAGAGTGTATCTAGGTGTATTAGCTACCGAAAGCTTACAAAAGTTAAAAAATAACTCACAGGTTCCTGAAACTGATGTCAAAATGTTTTTAATAACTTGTCGCAGCTTTTATGTGGAGTTGGCTAAACAAATCCTACAGAGGTTTGACTTTAAGGACAGTCTTTTTAATTTTATTGACTTGGTAAATCCTTCTGTTGCTCAAAGTTTCACTTTCAAATCTTTGAAGCCTATCTTTGTAAGATTTCCAGTATTGTACGATTATTACAACACGCAAGAAGTTGACGATGAATGGCGAGAATATGCTCTACTTGATCATGAAAGCTACGGCTTGCATCCTTCAGATGATGCCGAGGAGTATTGGCGTAAAGTTTTCCACCTAAAAAATGCACTCGGTCAAAGTTTGTTTCCAAAAGCTTTTAAATGCATTGTTAGTTTTACCTTTCTCGAATGCATCCGTGGAACGTGTATTTAGTTCCCTCAAAAATATTAAAAATGATCATAGAAATAAACTAAAAACAAGCACGATAGTTGCCCTAATGCAAAGTAAAGACCAAATAAAAGATTGTGTAAAATTTGAGCCAACAATAAATATGCTCAAAGCGAACCTATAAAAAAGTTATGTATTTATTTTAGTTTTTGGAATAAAGTTTTCAGTAGTAAAATATTTTTATTCTGTTTTTCCTACATCATGAACTTCGAGGGGAATTTTGCTATAAAAAAGAGGAATTTTTCAATATGACGCGGGGAATTTACAAAACTAACTGTGGCAACACTGATTACAAAAATTGTGTCAGTTCACGTAATCACCGTAACCGCGACGGACGCGAGCTCATTAACATAACATTTAACATTTTTAACATATTTTAATCTTATATTTTTAACATCATTATTAAACTGTTTTTATATAAAATTTTAATTATTATTCAACATACGTCCAATACCCGAACATTTTTTGGTCCTTCGAGTGAAAAATAAACATTTTGGGTCCTTCAACAAGTGTATTGAAATACCGTGTATTTTAAAGACAGTGACGTAACAGTGAGAACTAGCAAACTTTTTAAACTCAAACATAACAGTGGTCATCTTGCTCAACATCCACAACATTTGGCTTGGCAAAGCAGCAACTTGTCTAGGTCAAGAATCAACGTGTCGGCAAGTTGCTCAGCAACAGCAGCGAATCAGCAGCGCCAAAGTAAGATCTTTCCCTTTTTAACAGTTCTGCATTTAATAGCAACGTGGAAAACGTACACGCTAATCAGGTCGAGATTGTAGGAGCTATCCGTAAAATTGGTGTCAATATTAAAAAAAGATGGGTCAGAGCGTAAAACATTAGATTATTTTAAAAGAAAACTTGAGGTTTTGAAATCGTACTGGCAAGATTATCAGAAAAATCACAGTCAACTAGTAAAAAGTGAGAGTCGTACACGTCCCTACTTTACAAACTCCGAGTCCGAAATTGCAAGGGAGCAATATAACTCGGTAAAAGAAATCATAAATTTGCAGTATCAGGATTTCCTGGCTAGCCAGAAGTATTATCCAGCCCCTGAAGGTAAAACAACTCAACAAATGGAACAGCGTGGACTGAGTGAATCCTCTTCGGGAAAATCGGCGGAGCCACAAGAAGCTCTCCGCCCACAGGTACATCGAGGAACAACCAGTAAGTTAGATGACATGTTGCGCAAACAATATATTAATTTTAAGGCATTTAAAAGGTTTGTTAGTTGCATAAACATAAATAACATTACGGAAAAATGGGAATTCGAAGATTCTTTAAAAACATTAGAGTCGCGATGGTCGGCTATAGATTCTCTGCATTGGGAAATTGATCATGATCTCAATGGGGATGACGAAGAATATACTACTACTTTCAGTATGTATGGACAGAAGTTTATGGATTTGAAGAGAAAACTCAATTCCAAAATGTGGTCTGTCAATCACCGAGAAAGCTGTACGCCTAGAATGGATATCCCTACGTTTAACGGCAATTATAACCAATGGATACCATTCAAAGATCTTTTCACGGAAAGCGTTCACAACAACCCGTCGCTTTCAAACGCTCAAAAAATGTAATTTTTAAAAGTAAACTCCAAGGGGATGCAGAGCGTTTAATACAGCATTTGAATATTAGTTCAGAAAATTATGTAACCTGTTGGGAAATTCTAAATCATAGGTTTGACAACAAGCGACGAATTTTCGTATCTCACATTAGCCTATTGCTTGGTTTCCCTAATATTCAGCAGCAAGCGGTAAATCAAATTAAAAAATTACATGATACATCTTTAGAATGCCTAAACGCTATCAAAAACTTAGGCGTAGATATTAGCACATGGGATCCGCTGTTAGTACACATACTGTCGCAAAAATTAGACATGGAAACATATACAGGATATATAGAATCGCAAAAGAGGCCCAGAGATCTACCTGTGCTACAGGAGTTTCTGAACTACTTAGAAAGCAAATTTACAGCACTTGAATTATGTCGGCGAAAACAGGATAATATATCAAAATTAAACGGTCAGTCTCAACATAACTTCAATTCAACATCGAGTAATAATTACAAAAAGCAATTCAATTTTAATCAAAATACGACAAACAAACCGATTGCAAAATCATATAACGTTACTGGTATAAAATGTCCTCTTTGTAATGATGATCATGGCATTTACAATTGCAAAACGTTTTTAAATATGTCAAATGGAATTAAATTGAAAACCACCAAAAAATTGAAACTTTGCATAAATTGTTTATTTAGCCATAACGGAAATCCATGAATTTCAACACAACGGTGCCGCAAATGCTTGCAGAAACATAATACTCTGTTACATGACGCGTGCACTAAGCCCATATCCGGTGCACAGGTTGGGAAAAAACCTAACGAGTCCGTGACAAACACTTCGCACGTGTCACAAAATAATTTAGGAGGAGAATGATTAAAACTACTTTTACGGATTTTATCGCGTTTATTTTTACTTTTTATTTTAATTCCCGACGTTTCGGACGCTTTCCAGCACCCATGGTCACGGGGGACTGAGATGACTGACGTCCCAATGTCACCGTTAAACCCGGAGTACCTTCAGCTTTTTTAATTATTGTTTATGGTCCGATCTATGCAAAACGAACTGACTATGTCTTGAGGTCTTGCAGTGGTATGCTTGGGTTTAGTTTTAATTTTATTGATTATAGGATCCCAAGCAGGTGGTAGTACCCAGCCTCCTTCTCTATTGAAATTAGGATGTTTTTTAATTTCAATAGCCTCACGTATCATCCTTGGTAGGAATCGGTGTTCTTTCGCGAGGATTTGTGGTCTATCAAATCTGATGTAATGGTTGGGGCCGTCTAGGATATGATCACAAACTGCAGACTTCCCGGAACGTTGATGCTTCACATCAGCTATATGTTCTTTTACGCGGGTCCTAATTGATCATTTGGTTTGTCCTATATAAGAGAGACCACATTCACAATCAAGCTTGTACACTCCTGCATCTTGTAGAGGAATATGACACTTGACGGATGGTAGGAACTGACTAATCTTCTTCGGCGGCTTGTAGAATGTTCTAATAGAAGCTCGCTTCAAGATATAGCCAGTCTTGTCTGTGCCACCTCTGACATATGGTAGTACAGCAGGCACACAGTAAAAATAAACGCGATAAAATCCGTAAAAGTAGTTTTAATCATGTGCAATGTTCGCGTAAATATAAGAAATCATTAGGAGGAGAAATTTTACTATCGACAGCTTTGGTGAAATGAGGGCGTTGGATGGAACCTATCAAATCAAAAGAGCGTTGATAGATCAGGGATCCCAAATTTCGCTTATCTCTGAAAATGCCGCACAAACCTTAGGCCTGAAAAGAAAGCACTGCAAGGGAGTTATTTATGGCGTCGGGGAAAAGGAAAACATTTGTAAGGGCATGTTAAATATTACGTGTACATCCATGTTTAATGACTATTCTTTCAACACTAATGTTTATATAATGAATAACCTAATTAAACATTTGCCAAACCAATCGTTCGCAAAGCCTTCATGGCCATTTATAGAGAACATAAACTTGGCTGATCCTGAGTTTTATAACAGTCGTCCCGTGGATTTACTCTTCGGTGCTGATATTTATTCTATGATCATGTTAGGTGGCATTTCAAAGGGAGATTCATCACAGCCTATCGCACAACAAACGCAGCTAGGGTGGTTGTTGTGTGGTAGTGTTAAAACATTTCAATGTAATGTTGTCACAAACAACATTGAAAACATTCAGAAATTTTGGGAAATAGAACAAATAACAGAACATTCAGAGTTATCCCTAGAAGAACAGCATTGTATACAACACTATACATCAACACTACTAAACGTCATGAAAATGGTCGTTATGAGGTCCGTTTACCCTTAAAACAAGAAATCAAAACAAATTTGGGATCAACGAAATCAATGGCAATTGCACAGTTTCGGAATTTAGCTTGTAAAACATGATAATTTCGCGAAAAAATACAAATCCTTTATTAAAGATGTTATTATGAACAATTGAATCATATGAAACAATCGGACGGTCATACGATGCCGGAGTGTCATCTACCTCACCACGGTGTAGCGCGTGCCGAGTCAATGACCACCAGCCTCCGTGGCGTTTTTAACGCATCAGCAAAAACTTCGAGTGGGTATAGTCTTAAGGACTTACCTAATTTACAACAAGATTTACAATGTTTATTATTAAAATGGCGTCAATATAAATATGCTTTCACCGCAGACATTGAAAAAATGTATCGGCAGATCATTATGAATGAACAAGACCAACGTTATCAAAAAATTATTTGGAGAGGATCACCAGAACAACCTTTGCAATCTTATCAACTTACCACCGTTACATATGCCACAAAGGCGGCACCATTTTTAGCAATGATGACGTTAAAACAGCTAGCAGAAGACGAACAGGCCGCCTACCCGGAGGCACCCACGGCTTTAAAAGAGGCTTTTTATACGGATGATCTCGTCCATGGAGCCCACAACATTCGGCAAGGCAGAAAGTTGCTTAACGACTTAAACAAATTATTACAATTGGGGGGGTTCACTTTGAGAAAATGGGCATCGAATAACAACGAACTGCTCTGTAGCTTAGGTAAAGGTCAGATTAAAGAAGAAAATTTAATTTTTAATTTTAAAACTGAACACGCAACACGGCCTCTTGGACTCTGTTGTTTAAACAACAAAGACACATTTACTTTCTGTTGTAAAATGTCTACTCAAGAAATTAAGCCCACAAAAAGATGTTTCATCATTATCATCATCATTACAGCCCTTCACAAGTCCACTGCTGAACATAGGCCTCCCCCAAGTAATGCCACAAAGCACGGTCCTGAGCCACCTGCATCCATCGACTTCCTGCATATCTTACCAGGTCGTCACTCCATCTAGTGGGGGGTCGCCCTACACTACGCCTACCGGTACGAGGCTGCCACTCGAGAACCTTTCTTCCCCATCGGTTA